AAATTCAAGTTATTCTACTGTAAATGTGTGCTGTAAATAAATTAAAGATGCTGACAGATGAAAATAAATTTCAAAAGAACATCTTTTATTATTTATCGATCTTACGTGAAAGAATGAAATAAATAAAAAGCCGACTAGAAATTTTTTCGGAATTAATTATTTACGAATTAAACCTTGGGTAATATTCAATTTTGTAATACATAAAACAATTATTATTAATTATGGATTGCATATTTTTCAATACACTGTATACGCTTTATGTTATAATTTAATCACGATGTTTTGGTAAACCAAAAAAATTATGTATTATCAACCTATTTTTCATAAATTATGTAATATAATAATTGTAGAGTGACAAATTTGATAAATATATATTTAATGACCCCAGGCCCTGTGTGCTCATTGAGCGATTCATTTATTTTACTTCAATTTAAGGCTATAAGAGGTACGGCGGAGTTCTTGTCGGATAACGATGAGTATAGGTCCATCTAGGAAAATAGTAATTGAAAGCATTGCGATAGCTTAAGTGGTAAAGCACCTTATGCATGAACTTGGGGAATACAGGTTCGAGTCCTGGTCGCAAGAAAAAACTACTTTTCCCGAAAAGCGTGCCTGTATGAAACTGTGTAGACGGGGTGGATCAAGTGGCGTTGGAAAGTATATAATTACCCTAAAACTTTATTGCTACTATTATAGTGGTGGGCAAAATTGGCTCACAGTAGGGGAGTTCATGTTACAATAAAAACAAATGTTTCGTTTGTGTATTTCCAATAAACCGGAAAACTTTTTTCTATTTGTGTAGTAAACAGAATGCCCCTCCTATGTAAAATCATTATGAATGTTAGAAAATACATAATCTCTATAAACACATAATGTCACACATTTAAAATCAATATTTATAATGAGACAGGCCGTTTGAATAAAAGATTACAAATTTTTGATTGTTTGTTCGTTCTGTCAAGAAAATTTAGGTCAATATACAAGACTATTGGAATGGTGATAGTTACAAATTAATATGAGTTATTATGCTCACGGTTAAGAAAAAAAGGTTTATGTTTGAATTTTTAGGAAAATCACGAAAAATCATACGCGTCATACCTCGATGTCTGATGGCATGTTTTCGAGACATTTATAACTTGCTTATTATAATTGACGAGTTATGAAAAAAAGTATATTTTGCACCAAAGGACCGAAATAAAACATTTTTTCCACAAGGAGTATTTTAGCTTTAGTTTGTAAATTATAATTAATTATATTTGGTTCTTGACAAACAGCTTGAGGTCAGAATTCATTATTTAAAATAAAAAAATTTCAAAGGTGTTACTCGAATAGGCTGGACCAAGTATGTGTACCATGGGCTAATGATTTGTTTTTAATTATAAAAGCAAATCTTTGTAACCTTTTACATTCAAAAACCAATATATATTAAAACTTCATGGAAAAAGTAATAACTTTCACCTTTCTTGAATAAAAAAATTTACTATCTGCATATAATGGAAATTTCATTAACAAAAACTCAGATCAGATATGGACTGAATATAAAATTCCACGGAGGAAATTCAGGTTTATGGTCAAGTCAGTAAAGAGGCAAGTCTGGAGAAGCTTTTGTAAGAGACTGGAGGCCCTACCTGAAGTGGCCCGAATCTGCAAGCTGCTTACTCCCAGCAGGAACGTGGCGCTCCGAGGCTTAGAATCTCCGGAAGGAGAGATGGTCGACGATCATCAGGGCATACTGGAGCTCCTCATCAAAACGCACTTTCCGGGATCGACGCCGGTGCAAAAAACCACAAGCGATGCCGTTAGACCAGGTAGGCTCGTAAGGGCCACCTAGGAAACCGCCAGGCGAGCGGTGACCTACGATCGGGTAAAATGCAGTCGGTACCTTTGATCGCTATAAAAGTTCAGGCACAGACGGAGTACATCCGGTTCTGCCGCAAATGGGCGGGGAGCGACTATGGCGCAGACTGGTACATATTAACCGATCTTGCCTTGCCATGGGTTACATACCTAAGGCTTGGCGGACAGTCACGGTGGTATTCATACCCAAAATGGGGAAGGACCGCTACGACCAGACAAAGGTCTTCAGGCCCATAAGTCTAAGCTCCTTCGTCCGAAAGACTGTTACCTTAAGGAGAGCGCACTGTGCTCTAGGCCCTCGTACTCAGCACAACACACCTACCAAACAGGCCGGCAATTAGAGTCTTCTTAGACATAGAGGGAGCGTTTGATAACATACCCTTCGAAACTATGGGGGAGGCCATTCGGAACTTCGGAGCAGACGCTACGCTTGCACGATAGTCCATGAACTTACTCGCCGATAGTGCGACCATCGCTTATTTAGGAGTTACGGAAGTTCGAGCTGCAGTTGCCAGTGGCTGTCCGCAGGGAGGTGTCCTATCCTCCCTTGCGCTGGATCCTGGTGGTGGACGAACTTCTTACGAACGTGAAAAAGGCTAGTTTCAGCGTTCAAGGATATGCTAATGACGTAGTCATCATGGTCAAAGGCGACGATTTGGGAAATCTGTCTCTTAGGATGTCGATGGCCTTCAACGTCGTCGAAAGATGGCGCCAGGCACCGGGGCTCAGGGTCAATCCTAGAAAAACTAAACTGGTCTCCCCCCGTCTTTGGCAAACAGCTGTAATGTTCGGAAACAGTACTCTACCTCGAAGTAACCTTGGATAGTAAGCTGTATTAAAGGGCGCACGTGGACAAGCAGGTTGAAAAAAGGCCACGGCTACCTTCTCGACCTGCAGCAGAATGTTTAGTACCACATGGAGTTCAAAGCCAAAATCAATGAAATGGCTGTACACAGCTGTCGTGGTTGCCCAACTAACCTACGCCTCCATAGTATGGTGGTTTTCCGTCAGGAGGGACGTCTGCAAGAGGTAATTAAGCAAAGTCTATAAAGCAGCACTGCTGGGTATAACGGGAGCTCTGAGGATGACCCCAACCCTCGCTATGAGCTGCCTACTAAGCATCCCTTTGCTGGAACTTATGGTAGGAGCATTAGCGAGAAAGCGGCCATCTGCTTGAGGAGTCATAGACAGTGGAGGAGCTTTCGAGCACGGCAAGTTGCGATTTTGGCTTCAGAGGACTCCACGGCACTCGGCAGCAAAAAAGTCGACTACTGACCTAGGAGGCTAGAGTTTTCACACGGATAGGTAGTCATTTCCCTGGACAGACGGACCTGGATAAAAGAAGGCGAGATATCGCTTACTCCCGAGGGACCTGTCTGGTATGTGGATGGGGCGAAGATCAAGAGGGGAGAGGCCGGAGCCGAAATCCGATGCGTCACACTACGGGTGGGGAAATCTTCCACCCTGGGCCAGAACGCTTCAGAACTGAATGCACTGGGCACCATATTTATGTCTGCAGTAACAGCTATACTGCTTCAACGGTTCTTTCGCAGATGGCTACCTGTTCAAAACTCGTGGACAGTCTCAGGAGGGTTCTAAAGCTGCTAAAGGTACCGAGTCACCGCGGCATATGCGGCAACACTCAAGCTGGAAGGCTGGTTCGTCTAAATGCTTGCCGTGGCGGTGGCAAGGGCCCAGTGGAGATTAACGCTCCCGAGGATCTTGTGAAAGCGTTGAAGGACAAGATGCTGGACAGGAGGTTTACCAGCAAACACCAAAGCGTTCATTAATAAACCTACAGCTCAAATTAGCAGGGACCTGATCGAACAAGATAAGAGAAGGCTAAGAGTAGTCGTGGGTGACATCACAGGGCGCTGGTTAACTCGACGTCACATGAGACGCGTGGCGATATCCACGTGCCGATGGTGTGGCAAGGAAAAAGAGACACCTGTCCTCATGATAAGGGACTGTTTGGGGCTAAGAAAACCAAATCAGCACCTATAAGGGAACTTTAGAACCGACGTACTCATGCTTGCAATGGTCGGGACGGAACGGCTTCTACAATTTTGCCATGAGGCCAGGCTGTACCAATCTCTAACTATGTAACGACGGCCTTTACCATTTCTTTGGATTCAGTTAAATGGTCCCGTGGTTCAGTGCAAGAGCGGCGGGACGAATTAACAGTAAAAAAAAAATAATCTACATTATTATTTTATTCGTTCATCGTGGTCAGAGATAAGACTATATTATAAGTGGGTCTTGTCTCGGCCGGGAATCGAATCCGCTACCCATAGTGCGCCAGGCTGGCACGTTACCACTTAGGCTACGATGGCGGTACGCATGGACTTTAAAAAACGTTTTATTATTTAGATTTATTCCTATGTTTATAAGATTTATTTATTCCTAATAAAAAAAGGAAAAAAAAGGAACTAGAAATTATTAGTATATCAGAGTGGTGCTTGATCGTTTTCAATAATTTGTATTATAATTCCATTAGTTGTAACTCTGATGAAATTACATAAAGTTCCAAGTAACTTTTTGAAATAGACTAATTATAAAGGGAATTGAGATATTCCTATTAGAGTAGATAAAATTTCGTTTTGAAATTGATCAACTTATCAATAAGGCGGGTATTAAATAAAGATATTTTTAAAGAAACCGAATTGATGAATGTGGTAGTCGGCACTACAGATCATGATGATTCGTTTGAATAGTATATCACAATTACCAGTAAAGTAACTGCCTGATTTATTGGTTTAGGGTAAAAAATGAAGAATGTTAAAATTTGAGTTACCGTGCATAGTTTCAAGAAGAAAAACGTTTTAGAATGTTAATAAATTGAACGTATAATTGCGAAAAAAGGTATTTGTGAATGGTATAATTTTAGACAGTACTTACAATAATTACGTTTATTACAAGTGAAATCATTCTATTGGAATTTAATAAATCTTTATGGAATCAAAGTTAGACAAGCCTAGATATATTATATGATTTTTTTAATTAAAAGCATATACAAAGATAAGAAATATAAATACATTGACTTAGTGGATATTATTCATAAATATAAAAAGGTTTTACAACTTTTCATGACATCATTTTGTTTTGGTACAGCATTTTCATTATCAATTAGTTTATGCGAGCATCACATTAGTCATTTCTATAGATTGTCCATCGAAATCAAAAAGTCTTCTGAATTCACTTGTGAAAAAACAGAATGCTCTTTCTATCACAGAACGTGTTGACACATGTTTCATATTATATCTCGTCTGTTCTGCTAATAGAAACCCATTATCTCTAAATGGAGTTAAAACATTTATTGATTTCGAATACCCACAATCTCCTAGAAAGTGATGATGAGGTGGTAATAACGGATTATTGTTGTCTATCAATCGTTAATTAAGCTTGAACCGCAAAAAATGCCAGCATCATGTACTTGTCCGGGTCTAAATGTCAGTAAATAAATATACTTTCTGCGGTGGTCACATAATCCTGTAAGAGTTCACCATCAAAATTTATAATGAAACCCAAAATTATGCATTTTCTTTGTAAAACGATGGAATAAAAGCTTTTCTGGTTATTATAATCGTTAGCATTACCAGGAGGTTGCTTTATTTTTTTAAGACACCTGTCAATCGCACCAACAACTTATGGAAATTCTGACCGCTGTCTAAACGCCTAGAAATCAATATTTTGATTTATCAGCCATGTAAATTGTATATATATGTACTTGATTAATTTTTAATACTCACTGCCTCGTTATCATCTAACTTATTTGGATCTGGCCATTTTTCATACACTGGTAATAGATGACGTAAAATTACTGAGTTTTCCATCATGACCAAATGTGCGTTGCTTTCAGCAACATCAAATCGATTATCAACTGATCTAATGCTGTTTGGCGTTACAAGAATCCATATGGTAATGTTAATTTCTTTTTTCAAAGGCATCCTAGCATTCTCCCATGGTGGATATGCCTCAATAGTATCAACCAGTTTCTGCAAGTATGTATAGAATACATACTACATATGAATATATATAAAAATGATTGAAAGATATTAGATGAATTCGTAGTAATCACCTTAAACACTTCCCACCACATTCGGAAATGAGAATAGAATTCTTCATTGGAATATTAAGGAATTACTTTCTCATAATCATTTTGTATTCGTGCTGGCCCACCTTTATCTTCATCTAAACTTATTTCATCTCCTACTTCCGTAATCTTATCGTTTCGAATATTCCTATATGTTTCCATTTGACGGCGATGAGTTTCTGTTAAATTAATAAAAATAATTTCTAGATTAAATGAAAATAGTATCAATGTATAGTGTAAAATTATAATAAATATGCGCTTCTACATGATAAGGAGTTACTTGTTGAATGATAGGTTATGAATTGTATTACTCATGTAAAGAATCAGGTAATGAACTATATAATTGGCTAACTTAATAAAAGGTTAATTTTTATTATGTAAACAACTAAACTCAAATTTATAATTACTTAAATTTATTATTTTATTAAGATAAAATAAACGTAGACATTAAATGAAATAAAACTCAATTTCATTCAATATAAATTATTTTCATACCATACCTTTCTGTAAAATAAGTGCTGCCATATTTTTATCAAGCGTATTCTTAATCTCTCTATGTAGTAAATCATTTGAAATATCCATAATAATCCATATCAATTAAATGAATTTTATTTAGCTTCATCATCAAAAATGATGTTTTAATCCTTGCAAGTAATAAATGCGTTCATTTATCATAAAATTTGGTACTGCCAACTTGAAAAAATACGCAATGTTCAACTCTCGTCTATGATAGAAATACTTATTAGGTAAGTTGCAACTCTTAATCTTAAAAACTAAATTTTCTCAATAAATGGATAAAAAGTTATTAATGATGCTGCAAATAAAAGCTGACATATAAAGTATATGACTGATGTATGTATGATTCGCCCATAGACTATATAATAATTAGGTGTATAAAAAACATAGAATTGTAGGGTGAGCTAAAGCAGAATTTCGTGTATGAATGTGTCCGCTGCCAAGTGCATCATGACAGAGGAAAAGTGGGACATAAAAAGTAAAAGGGTAAAAAGTTACGTAACATGGCGCAAGTAGCGAGCAGTCCCTATTTGCTTTTGTGAAGGCAAAAAAAAGAAAAAGATATTATCAAAACTACCTATCATCACATCAAAAACAGCCCCTTTCTTCTGAGTTGTACAAAAAAGTGTGCCAAGCATATATAACAACAATGATAAAATTGCAAAAAGTCCTAAAATTATTGAACGCCAATTATTTAAAACTATGAATTAAAAATGAATTATTTCATCTGTTTTTTTTTTAAACAAAATTTAGTACATTTAAAAAAACAAGAAACATAATTGCCAGAAACTTGGGGTGACTTTATATTCTGTGGAATTACATGAGAACTTCAAAAAAAACTATTCACAGGCGTGAAAATATACGTATCATTAAGTTTTTCTTCTACTAACAACTTCTTCTTACTAGACATATTTATTAATAACTTTTCAGTTATGCAGAACTGAACGATACTTTATAGGATATTTATTGTTCTTTACCGTCCAAGGGAGATATATGTCACCTCATTTTTTTATTTTCCGCCAATTTTTTGAGATCTTTGATCTCACTATTGCGTGCTTATTATTTTACAGTTATGATACCATTTGGTTGGTATTACAAAATCCTTCTCAATCGATCTCAAAACGTTTTCATAATATATCATCGATGAAATCTGAAAAAATTGTCGAATATAAGTCTGAAATTAGTTGTCGTATTCTATATAATATTATTACCCCTTTTTCAGTGCAAATCAATACGAAAGAATTTCAGATTGTATCAAACCTCTCTGTTCAAGAACGAAGCATTAGGGCCTCAATGGTCACTGTCCGAGCGTCTTTTAACCCTTGTAATCACTTACATTGAGTGTTAATTTTCAGTTATTCCTCTCGGAGATTATTGTTGATCATGATAAAGATTCTTATATAACATACGATTATATTCTCTTAGCAATCCACACAGCATATACATATCATCATATATTTCCTTTATTATTACTTTTTCTACTTGCTACTACAATTGCACTTATCGTTAAGGCAAATGGTGTACACGTCTTCACACTACAGTCTCTAATAACGTCTATAAACTTTTTACGATTCTTGAGGTAGTTGTTACACACAGCTTGTTGATACGTGAAAATAGATTTGCATTCAGGCACTATTAATAACAATCCTTATATATTTTTTGTTTTTTTTTTGTTCTGCAAAACACAAACAACTACTACTTAAATTTACGTTGCTTCTCTTTGATGAGGTTCAATCTGCTATCTACTTCTTGCACTTTTTTCATCAAATCTTACACGTCCTCATTTATGTCGAAAGAAATATGAAATTTTCTGCATTTTTGGTAAGTTCGAATTTCGGTTGGAAGTATTCGTCTGCGTTTCTTTATGTTGATCAGGATCAATTGAGTTTATGTTCAACCGGTCTGCAATTAATTTCTTGTCTGGTTGCGTGAAGAATACTGACTATTGATACCACTCTCATTCTAGCTCCTTATCTGTGTTCAGTAAAATTTATACCTTTTTTTATATTCCTCCCTCATAGCGAATACACATTCAATTTGTGCTATTTTGTATTGCATAAACTCTTTTCCTTCCATACCTGAATTATTAAAAAATGGATAATTCTTCAGAAAGTGGTACCTTTCACATGTTAACTGTCTTAGTCTTTCGTGCTCTCCACAAAATCGTCCCACGCTGGTTAGATTCTTGAAATTTGCGGATCCCATTTATTTAAAACGTATCAGAGAAGCGATAAAATTTCAGCTTATACTCTAATTCTAACTGCTCTCTACCGCACACTTTCGTCACTATCTGAACAATATTTAAACAACAGCTAACAAAACTGATTTTCAATTGCACGAGATTTATATTGTCTTTCTAAAATTTGAAACTTATCAGATGATGCTGACGCCAATTTGTAGTGCTCCTTTGTGGTTAATCAATATTTACCCTGTACTAGCGTCCTTTCCATTGCTGTATATTTCATTGTTTTCTTGTCCAGTTTGTAACTTTGAACATAGTGTTCTGGAGTGCTTGGCTCCCCTAGCTTGGCCTTTTGGATTCTCCTATCTCAGCTTTGCAATCCATGCTTTCTGCTGCTTCCTCTAAGGCTGGCAATAATTTTTCTTCTGAAACAGGTGGTAGTAGAGGGGCATCTGCTATCATAGTTTCCTGATCACTGCCGTACTCCTCATCTGGCCTATTGATTGCTCTTATGGTTTCTCTATTTCTTTGACCTCTTCACCGATAAATCTAACCTACTCCTTGTATACTATGTGTTACGTTCTGACGTCTTTCACGTACTTTAGGTTAGATTAAATATTGTTTTTTTTTTCATTTTTTTCATCTTCATAATAACTCGATAACAAGACACACACAGCCATAAACATAGATTCGCACTAAGACACTCAAGCTTCACGCACATGTTCGTGGACTATTGTGCATAAACCCCAACTCAAGTGAGTGAACAGTGCACGAAACTTTACTTTTTTTGACATTCTTTCTCCGGGATTAAAGACGAGAATGAGTGATCTTACTCCACCAACGGTGAGTCCATTTGATTTCAATTGGAATTAATGGGTTTTATGTCAATTTGTTTAAATTTAAACTGTGCTTTCGGTTTTGGAGTAGCGCTGCTTAACGCGGCAGCTCCACGATTTTTACCGCGACTATAATATGCGAATCTCCACCCTTAAGCCCCACATCGTCGCATGATGATATGTTATAAACTGATTTTGCAGTCTTCCTTCTCACATATTAAAAACAATAGATACATTGCTGTGGACATTAGACAAAACGTGATTATTAATACCTACATATCAACCCACAAATCATACTATGCAACATTTATTACTACTAAAGCCTTTATTGCAGTAGGTCTGTATCAGTTTCAGCCTGCTTGCTTAGTTTCGTTGCTTCTGTGATAATCTTTTGTATGATATTCTGTTCATGTCGTTGTTTACACTGCATTATTCGACGGTGCGCAGCGCGGTGCATTGCCATATGTTGCACTATATCTTTCCCGTCCTTAAATGGATATTTTTCAACTGTTCTACATGCAAAAAATGTATGAAATCATAAAATTGCGCCAAGTTTGACCTGGAATGATCGCAAAACCATGAAATTGTTTTATCAATTGTTGTTCTGACTTGGTCTAAGGTACTCTATCGACGGCTTAATATTTTTCTCCCCACCGAATAACTAGATGACTCGAGGTCTCTCCTGCCAACTCATTTTCGCCAATTAGACAACTCTAATTAATTCCTAGACGTATATATCCCTTCTCGAAGGGCCTAGAAGCTTCAAAAAACGCAGAGTGTTCGAGAAACACGGACCGTAGTCTTCAGTATTCGCCGGTTACTGCGAGTATTCGTACGTAGCTCGTACTCGGACGACTCTTGGGCATCATCGGACGATGCCAACCCACAGACAACTCGTTGTAACAGTCAACTCGGTACGTGTGTACCAGCAGAGAGCTCACGCAGTCGAACTCTCTAGTGAAAACCCAGACAACTCCTCAGACATGGACTTAATCACCAGTTAATCATCTATAGTGATGATTATAAACTCATCAGGCAGTCTACCTCTTAGAAGACATCCTCAGAAAGCTCATGTTGGTCCGCATCAGCACCTTCTTACAAAAGGCGCGAATGATGTCGGCTTCGACGCCTCACGGCCTCATGGACAGACACACACACAAGATCCATACACGAACAACTCGCTTGTGTCTGTGTAGCTGACGCCAACACAATGAAACTCAGACTACTCAAACAGATCAGGCTACTCCTGGTGCAGAGACCAGTACAGGAAAACTTACAACTTTCCTGTGATCCTCTACTTATCAGTCAACTCATCAGTGAACTCTGTGTGAAATTTCCGTGAATTCAAGACTGTACAGACAATTCAAAGACTCGTTCATTGTTATTTTTCCGTTACTGTGATTTTAGTGTTTAATAAATCGTTCACTGAGTGACATTGCACGACTAAACAGCTGATTATTTTCTGGTGTACTATTAAGTGGGTCAATCGAGTTTGTGATTGATTTAATATCACCAGTGAGCGTGTTGGCTCCTTAGAATAATTGGAGTGAATTAAATCAAGTTTCTGGTTATAAAAAGTACACCATGCAGGTTAAGATATACTCAGTGATCATTGAAGTAATCAATTGATCAGTTAATCTCAGTTTTTATGAGAAAGTATTGTGATTAGTCATAATTTCAGTCATCTCTCGAATGTTGAGTTGTGTAACCAATTACATGTAATTTTTGTGTCTCAGAGACAACTCTCCACGCATCAGTATAATGGTTATGCAGAATTAGTCAGACTACTCAGTGTTGTGTTATCCCCAGTGCCGATAATCACGATTTAGAAAACATTGAGTTCACTTTAGACAACTCTGGTGATCTCTAATGATCTAAGTGATTGATTCAGTGATTGTGACCTTGTTAACCAGTGCTTCAGCATGTCAAATGACAAGAACTTCAGTCTACCAGCCAACTCACCGTGTGAAAACATATTCTCACAAGACAACTCACATCAGCAAGACTCAACTATGTCACCACGTTCGTCAACTCATTCACCAGACAATTCATCACAACATAAGTCAAGATCACCCTCTCCTGAATCACGATTTAGCATAACACAACGCAGGTTATCAGCTCATATGGAACGCTTCTTTTACCTCATAAACTTAAGAGAT